GGCAGCTGTACTTACTGAGGAAAGCACTCGAAACTGGTGCAGAAAAAGTCTCTGATAAGTGTTGAAGAGAATGGGCTTTTGTCTCACTCTTAGGGCAGCAGGAGCGAAAGGATAGAACCGATCGCGTGTGACCAGCAGCCTCGTGATAATAGCTGGCAGGTACTGAGTGCCGATCTGGAGGGGCTCTCAACTCAGGCTTGCTTCGTCCACCCCCAGCCCACGGGGCGGGGTATAATTTCTCCATGTGACAAGCGCAGAGGCCACAGTGGGAGCCGACGGGTGCCTTGCTCAAGGTCACAGCAGGGGGAGCCAAGATTTTCTTTAAGGTGAAAACACTGATCTTGACTCAGGGTGCAAAAGCTCGGAAACAGAAAAGGACCCAGTTCCCCTCCCTCCCGGTGCGATTTGCCTCGTCTTAGCCAGAATATCACGGCGCGATTCAGAAAAAATAAGGAGATTCTGAGTTCTAGCCCTCAGGCCTAGACACAGGCAGGGGTGCCCGGAAACTTCAGGTGAGGTGGTAAGGCTTGAAAGAGGAGGAATTTAAGGGAATTTGGCTGCAGAGCCTCTCCTTCCCACCCCCCAGTCTCCAGGACAAAAGCTCTGTTCATATGCACATCTGTGGGGGGTGAGAGCTCTTCAGCTACCCTCCGATATCCGACCAGCTTAATCTGGAGCCCAGCGAGGTGGGAGGCAAGGGCTGGACTAGCCCGGGGTGGCAGTGCCGCCGCAGGACCCACCCAGACAACGGGAGAGCCCCGAGCCCGGATCCTTGGCCGGGGACCTTCCCTTTCTCCCTGGACACAGCTGGCAGGAGAGTCACAGGCTACTTTTTGTTGGCCAGGCTCCCCTCCGGGTGGTGAGCTGAGTCCAGGAGGCCGGCCGGCCACCTGGGGGCACATGGAACCTGCCTGCCTTCCCCTCCCCAGTGGGTACAGCAAGCCCATGTTACAGGAAGTCCCGCCACCCTCCTCGATGGCCCCAGAGCTGGCTGGCACTGGGCTCCCAGCATAGACCACCCACATCCTTCCAAGACTGTTTTCTTCTCCAGTTTCCCAATCCCCCATCCCTTCGCTGAGGCCCAGGTCCCTCTTTTCCCTCCAAGCTGCTAGGAACCCCTTGTGTCTGTCCTGGCAGCCTTTACCCCAGGCTTCCTTGCAACTCACCACTCGGGGTCCCCACTCCAGAGGGGGGGGTTGCTAAGGGTTCTTTGAGGGCCCCAGGGCCAGAGTCAGCCTCAGCCAGACTGGGAAAGGGCTCCCGGAAAATTGAACAGGAAGTTCCCAGCTCTGGTCCCATCCAGGTAATGAGGGGGCTTCCTAGAGTTAACCCTTAACCTCCCAGTTTGGGAGTGGGGTGGGGAGAGGGAGGGGCCAGAGAAATGAGGATTTAGCGGCTAATCCAGAGTCCAACCTGGGACTGAGTAGGAGAGTCTAACTCCCCCTCCAGGTAAGAACTCACCCCCCCTCATCAGGACTTGTCCTGTTCTTCTTGGGGGTGTCTGTCACCCTGTATTTTCTGAGGGGACCAGAGCTGCCATTTTATTTTATTAAAAAAATTTTTTTTATTTTTTTTCAACGTTTATTTATTTTTGGGACAGAGAGAGACAGAGCATGAACGGGGGAGGGGCAGAGAGAGAGGGAGACACAGAATCGGAAACAGGCTCCAGGCTCTGAGCCATCAGCCCAGAGCCCGACGCGGGGCTCGAACTCACGGACCTGAGATCGTGACCTGGCTGAAGTCGGACGCTTAACCGACTGCGCCACCCAGGCGCCCCTAAAATTTTTTTTTAATGTTTATTTATTTTTGAGACAGAGAGAAAGAGAGCACGAGCGGGGGAGGGGCAGAAAGGGGGAGGGGGGACAGAGGATCCGAAGAGGGCTCTGCACTGACAGCAGAGAGCTGGACGCTGGGCTGGAACTCACCAACCGTGAGATCATGACCTGAGCCTAACAGACTGAGCCACTCAGGCGTCCCCAGAGCTGCCATTTTAAAATGCCTATTGTGTCGTGGGGCTCTTTGCTGGGCATTTCATTCACGCCACAAATCTTTGCCAAGGGCCAGTTTTGTGCCAGGCACAGTTGCAGGGGCTGGGGTAAGCAGGAGGAACCGGCCCTGACTTCAGAAGGCTTACACGCCCGTGTGCCGAGCAGTCCCGGGCTAAGAATAACACAACAGGATCACGTGATGGGGGAAGAAAGGGCGCCATCAACACCAACAAAGATCTTCCCAAGAATCCTGCCGGGTGGCTTTTATCCCAGGTTTCCCAAACACGAAGCAGGGGCTTCCGGGAAGGGAAGTGACCTCACCACTGGCCTTGAGCCCAACTCGACCTCCAAAGTCAAGACTGCATTTGCTCTAAGGTGTCTTTTTGGGTCGTGCTCTTGGGCGGCCGCAGCCCGGAGGGCGTTTTCCTCGTAGGAACCTGCGGTTCAGAGCCCGCGGGCACTCTCGCGGTGCCCTGTTTTGGGGACCCGGGGACACCTGAGCTCGCTCTGGCTCCTCAGCCAGGTGGTTGTCTTCCTGCATTTAGCACCTGGGATTAATCTTGTTCCTTTATTTTCACTGTCTAGTGTGGGCCTCACTGGACTACAAGCTCCCTCTGGACAAGTGGTGTTTCCCTTATCTGCTCCGCGTCCTGCACACCTGGCCCAGAGCTGGCACGTGTCCAAACAGACGAAGTGGCTTAGGAGGCGGCCCGCGAGACCCACAGCACGCAGAGTGTGCAGGCGCCCAGCCCCGGTAGCCCCACCGCAGCCCACCTCCTGAGCGAGGTCGGTAAACCCCGCCCCAGGGAGGAGCCTAGAAACTCCACCTCCTGGGCGGGGCCGGGAGCTCCACCACGGCCCACCTCCTGGGAGAGGTCGGGAAACCCCACCCCAGGGAGGAGCCTAGAAACTCCACCTCCTGGGCGGGGCCGGGAGCTCCACGACCGCCCACCTCCTGGGAGAGGTCGGGAAACCCCACCCCAGGGAGGAGCCCAGAAACTCCACCTCCTGGGCGGGGCCGGGAGCTCCAACACCGCCCACCTCCTGGGAGAGGTCGGGAAATCCCACCCCAGGGAGGAGCCTAGAAACTCCACCTCCTGGGCAGGGGCCGCAAAAGCCAACCCCCGGGCGGAGGCGCCTCCCACACCCAGATCTGGACCCCTCCCGGCCGTCCCTGACTTGCCCCTTCCCCCAAGACTGACCTGCTTCCCCGTGGCTGTGGCTTTCGAGGACGTGGCCATGTCTGAGCCCTGGGTGTGGGGACAACCGAGCCTGTATGGATATGATTGGGAAGAACTGCTAGAACGTGGCCTCCACGGGTAAGGATCGGGGCGCGCAGGGAGGCCTGGGGAACTGGCTCAGCCGGAAGGCTCGGGTTTCGGTGTTAGCACTGACTTTCAGGCCTCCGACTCAGACATGCTACCTCTCCTGGAAATATGTCAGAGAGGTGGAGACCAGCTCCATTTCTAAACCTGTGGCCGAGCATGGGCTTGGCTAACAATCCTGTTTGTTGCTGGCCCATCGCGGTTGTGCACCATTTCATTCATTCATTCATTCATTCATTCATTTATTCATTCCTGCGGGAAATGTTTGCTTCCCTCCTGTGTGTCTGGTACTGTCCTTGACCCCAGGGACCCAGTGCCGAGTTAAACAGACAAGTGCTGCCCCCATGAGGCTTACAGTCTGGGCAACGCCGGGTCACCAAAGCTGGGATTCCTTGGACTCCTCTCATTAACTAAAGTTACTTTGCAGGAAAAAAAGGGCTTATTGAACGTTGAAGTCCCCTACACTCCCCTCTCCCAGCATTACTCAGTAATAGACGAAAATTCTTGTGAAATTGCTGAGTTGTTATTTATTTCCACTTAGTGAGTGATAAACCTCCAAAAGAGAGATTTTTAATGAAAATCTACCTATTTGGGGTATATTTCAATATCTCCTAAAATTATCTTGAAAATGCACACATAAACTATTCTAGTTGTTACCTTGGAATTTTTTAAAGTTCACACCAAATTACATTTTTAAAAAAATATTTATTTTTTGGAGAGGGGAGAGCACAAGTTGGAGAGGGGCAGGGACGGGGCGGGGGGGGGGGTGTCAGAGGATCCCAGGAAGGCTCTTCACTGACAAGCTGACAGCAGCAAGCCTGATGCGGGGCTCAAACTCACGAATGGGGAGATCATGACCTGAGCTGAAGTCAGAGGCTCAGCCGACTGAGCCACCCAGATGCCGCTAATAATTATTTTTTAACTACGTTTTTAAATTTTAATTCCAACATAGTTAACACACAGTGTTATAATCAGTTTCAGGTGTACAACTTTTCTTATTAAATGTGAAAAAGACTTCAGGTCTCGTATCAGCCAGGCCAGTAAGAGCGCCTGACTGATGGAACCTTCCTCTCTCATCTTTTAAGAGATTTCAGGGGCGCCTGGGTGTCTCAGTTCGTTGAGCATCTGCTTCTCACTCAGGTCATGATCTCATGGTTTGTGGGTTCGAGCCCCATGTCGGGCTCTGCGCTGACCGCACAGAACCTGCTTGGTATCCTATTTCCTGCTCTCTCTCTGCCCTTCCCCCACTCGCTTGCTCTCTCTCAAAACTAAATAAATAACCATTAAAAAGAGACAGAGAGCTTGCAGAAGAAAGACACGTTTTCCTGTATTTTCTATTTCTGTAGGATTCCTCCAGTTAGAATAATTCAGGGCAAAGGGGAGAAATCCTTCTCCAGCTCAGGGAAAGATGGCTGTTAAAACCTCTTCTTACCATGGTCACATCCTCTGCCCTCTTTTCCTTTGCCTTTCTGTTTCTGGACACACCAGCTCGATCCCACCTCGCCATGCTGGCCTGGAAAGGAGGCTCTCACCCTCGCCCTTTGTCCGCTTCTCTTCAATCTTTTTTTTTTTTTTTTAACTTTTCCAATGAGTATTTATGATTAGTTAAGCCATGCTTCAGGATCCCAGGGTGGGGATCACCATGTACCCAGGTCCCCCCTTCACTGCCCTAGGAGAAGGATGGAATACAGACGAGAGCTGCGGGGAGCCAGTTCAGATCTTCCCGGGAAACGTGCTTTCCGCCCGGAGGTCGTCCCAGGCTGCCACCCAGGACATGGAGCAGAGGGACTTGTACACACGCCGGTACCATTCGCACACGGAGACCTCACCCCCTTTAGCAGTCATCGCCTTCTCACAGCGGTGGAAGTCTAGGTAGTTTTGCCAGGAGTTCCGGGTCTGGCTCTGGTTGGGGAAGCGGCTGTCACAAGGGGCGGTCTGGTCGTTCTTGACTTTGGTCTTGATGTCTTCTGCCGTGGTGCTGAGTCCTAAAGACACCCCC